TAAGTAAAAGAAAAATTCTAAATTTTGTGTTTAATAGAAAAGTGGAATTGACAGCGTAGCTAACAATAGCAAGAGTAAGGGGAATTGTTTAGTGGGTAGTTAAAGCATTCTAAAAGCTTTTATCATTCCAGAGAGAGAATTAAAAATATGGAATGAACTTAATTTTTTAAAGATAATTTATAGTTAAATATGTAAATGAGAAAATTAAGGATAATATCTAAAAAAAAATAAAATCTACAGATAACAGAAGAAGATACAGAAAATAAAGAAAAATTGGGGTTAAAGAGAAATTCAGGAAAGGAAGTGTTTTTAAAAAGCAAAGAAATAGGATGATAAATATAAAATGGGAAGAAGATGTTTTCAGGCTGGCCAGTTAGCTTAATTGGCTAGAGTGTGGTGGTGACAACACCAGGGTCAAAGGTTCAAGCCCTGTGCTGGCCAGCCACCAAAAGAACAAAAACAACCCAGGTAAAGAAGATGTTTTCAACAAGTATAAATACAACAGTAACAAGAATAATTTCAAAAAATTTAAACTCATCAATTAAAAACACACATTATCTACTTGTCTTGAATATAAAAATAAAATCAAGATTCATGCTGCTAAGACAAACCCAAACAGTACCATAGACATATTTTAAAGTTTTAAAATAAAATGCAGAAAAATAATATTAAAATACCATTGAAAAAACAATTCATGTGGTGGTATTTATATCAGAAGAAACAGAATGTAAATTCAAAAGCATTAATAGACATATAGAAAGAGATGACATCACTATGAAAAGAAGAACATCCCCAAAACTACAACAATTGTAAACTTGTACACACTTAATGGATTTAAAAATTTCTAAAGCATTATCTGACAGAATTATAATGATAATGAACAGATATAATATAAAGATATATAATTGTAATGAACAGATCTAGTCATGATTGGTGATTTATCAAATAAAAAAGACTGAAGATAAGTGAAATGAGATAATCGAAAAAATTTAAAAAGTAACCCCGAGGAAAATCTGAAGAAAATAAGAGTAGGCCAATAAAAAAGCCAAGATAAATATGAGAAAGCAAAATCGTAGACAGAAAACAAAAAATCAGTGGAGTGGTTTCATGGAGACAAGTGCAGCAGATGTATGTTGAAAAAAAATGAGTGAAAAGATCGAACTCAAGCAAAACTAATAAAAGAAGCAAAGAAGGCAAGTACTAATCAATACTGGAAATGACAAAAGGAACATAACTATAGATTTAGTGGTATTTCCAAATTATAATAATATTTTTATTTTTTT